GATGAAAGATTTTACTTTATGTCCAAGTGTAGAAAAACTTTACTCCATTAATAAAGCAAAGGACAAAAAAATAAATAGATAAAAATAAAAAACACTTGGCCACAAACTTGTTTCATAACCACAACTGTAGGATAAATGTTTAATAGACAGAGCTTAAGCACAGCAAAGAGGGAAGGGGTGGGACCTGGAAATGATTTATAAAAGAATCATTTTTCAAAATAAATTCATGTTTTTCCTCATACAGTGAGCTTAGACAACCTCAGGTAAAAATGAAGAAATTTGTTTAATTTTGTATATGAAAATTAAATTACAGACATTCCACAAAATTATACTTTTTAAAATGCCAACCTGCTGGCATTATAAAACAATAAAAAAGAAAGGAAAATAACTGTAGCCAGTCACAAGTGTTTTATAAAACCCAAGTAGAGAAAGAAAATATGGAACTTGTGCCTTTTTAATCACTAATATGTGACAGGTTTTGTAGTTTTCTTAAAAAAAAGTTTTTCACAATATTGTTCTGACAAATTCTACTCTCTCCCCAGATGTACGCAAAGCTGCAGAAAAAGCCATGAAGACGAATTAAACGAACAGACTGACATGAATTAAGACCGTCTACAAATACAGCTCCAATATTTAACTCCCACTGATGTGTGTATCTGTGTGTAGAAGTGATTTATCAGCACAAAATTCATTAAACTTGGCAAGGATCGTGTTTTTAAGAGCTATTTTATTGGTCAAGACAGTAATGACTGGCAGTTCATCATGACATCAACTTAAACATGTTCTTAAAAACTAATACAGTATTCCAAACAAGTCTCACACAAAAGAATAACATTTTTGCATCTCCTGTATTGCTTTAAAAATTCAGTTTAAGCAAAAATCATTTAATGTTTTGTCCTGATTTATGAAGCACCTTTGACAGAGAATCACAAAACACATGTATGGTGTACACATTAAAGTGCTCTTTTGATAAACAGTGATATCTGAGTTGTTATCCATGTGATATTTTGATGCCAAGGAGACAGATTTTTTGTAATCGTTTGCAATTACTAAAAGGTTTTCTTTGTACTTTGTGCATTTTTCATTAATGTTCTACCCTGACTGTGACAGCATATTGTCCCATGTGAGAAAAAGAAACAAAGATAGAAGAGACATCTGGTCTTAAAAGCCACCAGCAGTACCCCACCTCATAATACAGCATGGCCCTGTGTACATATTTATCAATTCACATCAGTCATTTTTAGGAAATGTCACCTGGTGCAGCCGTTTATTAATTCAGACAAACACAAAAATATACATATATTATTGGTCCTAATTAATTATCTTCTTTCTTTATTCTGCGACAAGAATTTAAACATTCATTTAACACATAATGTAAAGTTTTCGAACAAGTTACAAGACAACATGAATACTCAAGTCATTTTTTTTAACCAGTTTTAGAGAGGATTAAAAGAAGTTGGGAACATTTTACTGTTTCCACATTTGTTTTTGTTTTTTCCCTAACAAGCAAGGTCAAATGTTCTTGTGCAAACATCCCTAATGTTTTCAGCTTGTCCTGAACTGCCCTTTATTTACTTTTTTCAGAGGCAGAATGGTTCAAAATGTTCTTTTTTTTTTCATCAGAATATCCACAGCACCAGAAAAAAAACACATTTAAAATGTGTTAGTGCATCTTAAATTTTTTATGGTTATATATTTACAATTTCTTTAAAAAGGGAGGTGTAAAATTAAAATACACAACAGCAGATAAAGAATGCATGAGGAAATGGGAAACTCAATAAGATGGGGCTTTTGATGTAAATGAAAACAAACAGGCTATAAAATTAATAATCGTATTAAAATGTCTATCCAAAACTGACATTATTTTTAAAAAGTTAAGTTTTAATGTAAATCATGTTTGGTGATATTTGCTGCATGTGACACACTTCAGAAATCTAAATGTCACTTATTCTCTTTGAGATGTATAATTTACTTTGTTAACCATATCTCACTAAAAACATCATTATTAGTTTTTATTGTCCTTTTCTTGGAGACTGAAGACATCAAGTTCCTATTTGTTCCTGAAAGAGTTTGTGTGAATCAGAGAGAAAAGTAAGTCAGCATTAAAGCAGATAAATACCCTAAATTAATTCATAATTTTTTGCAAAGAATTTCAATTCAAATATAAGTCATGCCTTTTCAAATTAAATGAGAAACTATGTCATCTTTACTACAGAGTGCTCCTTTGCTGACGGAGGGTGGATGTGAGTGAATGGGACTCCTGTATATTTGTTCACACAATTTTTTTGCAGTGTTCAGAATGTTCAAGAAGCTCTTGAGTGCAGCAAAGCTGAACAACCAGAAACAAGTAAAAACAGATTTGCATCTCTGCAAAATGAATAATATTCAGCACCAGSTTGTTTGACGTGACTGAATTAGATTTCTCTTTTATGAGCTAAAGGCCATTTTCTAGTGTTCCACATACTGTCACCAACAAGCCTTTACATAAACAGATGTGCCATCAATGTGCGCTTATTTGCCTCTTCAGTTAGCAACAGCCTCTGTTGTATCATTTTAAATTTGTTAGGATTAATACACCAAACATATAAGCTATTAGAAGGTTTGTTTCAGCCTTTTCCCCCCCTTCAATTAATTTTGGTTTCATTTTGAGGCCATCATCCATTACTATAAAAAAGACTATGTTAGTAAAAGAKAAATTAAAAGTGTGTTTAGTTGCTAATATAGCTAATAGTTTTAAACCCCACATGGCTTTAACATATTTGTTTTATATTCTGAGGTTCTAAGTAGTTGAGATCAGGTCTCTGAGCTGCAAGAGGCAGTAAATCTAACCCTCGCTGCTGCATCTTCATATCTCACTGGTGCTGGCCCGGTCACAGCAGTCCCAGTCCAGCAGGTCTTTGGCTTGAAACCACAGCTGGATCTCCCTTTGAGCCCCCTCCAGCGAGTCACTGGCGTGGACCACATTCCTTAAAGCAATCAACACTCCTGGTTACTTGTATGTTCAAGACACAAGTCCCAGCCTCATTAGGGTTACTGTGGAAGTATGAAGCAAACATAAGTTACCTGCTGATGTGGATGCTAAAGTCTCCTCTGATGGTTCCTGACTGGGCCTCAGTCGGGTTCGTGTGTCCCACCATCGTTCGAGACATCTGGACAACGTTGTGTCCTTCCCACACCTACAGAAACATCAACCGACACGTGAAAAAAAAAAAAAAAAAAGAGAGGGATGTGATGAGAGCTGGAGGTAACAACGAGGGGGAAAGGGAAGCCCTCACCATGACCACCACAGGTCCTGAGGTCATGTAACGCAGCAGACCGGGATAGAAAGGCTTCGTCCTCAGCTGACAGTAGTGCTCAGACAGGAGCTCTTCAGACACCTGCACAACAGGTACGACCGAAGTTAACCAGAGAGCAAAGTCACACAAAGGCTTCCAAACACACGGCGCACCTGCAGCATCTTCAGACCCACCAACTTGAAACCTCGCTGCTCGAAGCGCTGGATTATCTGCCCCACGAGGCGACGCTGAACTCCGTCYGGCTTCACTGCAACCAGAGTCTGCTCCCTCGCATCCGGGAGACCTACTGTGACAAGAGAACAACCATTACCCAACAGGAAGAAGATTAAAAAAAAACAAAACAAACATCATCCACTCAGAGCAATGAAACAATATTTCATTTATTTTGAGCTGAATATTTTTAGAAAGTGTATGTTAGTTGGACTACATTTGAAATGTTATTTTTCTAAAATAAATAAGACCTTCTCAACCAGTCAGTTTCTTCTACATGTTCTAAGAGACAGCTTAAACTACAGAAGTAACCAAGCTTTTGCTGAATCTAAATACATATTTGAAAGTTTATCACTACAAATACATGCTCATCGTTTTTGATGACATTAATATAACATACCTATAAACATATAAATATAGCCTAACTTTGATGACGTGCAACTTAAATTTAAAACCCTAATAAATTTTCATTTTTTATTGTACTTGTATTCTTATTTGTTGTGTGTTTTTTATTGTATTCTGTTGTCTTGTTTGTTGTGAAGAACTTTGCTTGGCTTATAAATAAGTTTGACATTGACCTCAGTTGATTGTACAAGACTCTGGACAAAGAGAAGATAACAGGTGCCACCAGGAGGGCAGTGACCCCATACCCCACCCACTGCCCCCCCTCCAGACAATCTTTCATGCAAAATATTTATTATGAATGTAAGTTTCACATGCATAATTATTTATTTTCATTTCAGACCAGGTTTTGACTGAGGAAATAAAATTAACATCATATGTCTCCAAAACTCAGACAAAAAATTTTTTTGTTTACACAATTTTGTTTCACTTTTTGCTGGTTTTCTTTACTGCAGCAGTTACTTTATCAACCTTCGGTATACTAAAATTCGTAATTAATTTCACTTCCAAAAAAATTTCTGTGCAATTCGTGTGCAATAAAAAAACAAAACAATCAGCACATCTTCATAATTATTAACCTATGGATTGTTTTATTTTGTGAAAACAACATATGTGACTAATAATTTTTCCAGGGGGCTGTGGTAGCTTCAGTATTATAARTTAATAATCCTGAGGCTACAAGTTCAAACGCAGGTTTTGTCAGGAGGGGCGTCCAATTGATCCATCTTTTGTATGAGTTCACTCACTGTGGCAACCCCCTGTTAAAGGGAGCAGTCAAAAGAAAAATAATATTTTTAAATATTCCATTTCAAAAGCTTCTAAATGATAATGTAGTCTGTTCAAATTTGGGGATTTCTTCAGTTTTGATTATGAAAGTCCTGATTTGAAAACTCAGTGTGTAATGTCATTGTGCATTCCAGTTCTATTTTTTTAAGGGAATGCCTAAGCTTTACAACAATGACACAAAAACAGATTTTATGAGGTTACAGCAAAAAAAAAAAAAAAAAAAAAAAAAAAAAAAAGTCAATTTAAATTAAAAAATATTATTTCTGAAGACATGCATATTAGAAAACTTTGATGCAAAGGTAAGCTACATTTTATGCTTTTTTTGTTACAAATATCACTATGGGGTCTTTATGGACTACTTTTTTTTTTTTAAATAAATCTAAATGATGACAAAAGTAAATGTTTCCACTTCCCCCCTCTGCAGCCTGGGCTYAGTTTGACTTAATTTGCCAGCACCCAGTCACATTTTTGTAATAATTTCTGTCGTTGCCACCCCCGTTGATGTTGCCTGGTTTCAGCATAGATTTTTAAATGTAATAAAAGGGTTTAAACAACCTCAGAATATAGGTTTTACACAAGCCCCATGTTGGAAAAATAAAATCAGTTCAGTGTTGAGCAGGAGTTCATGAATGACTGCACGCGATCCATTAGGACGCACGAGATCAGTCTGCAGGGTGAGAACGAGCGTAAAGTTTGGATCCAAAAACGACTCTACATCTGTTAAAACGAGACCCTGAACAAGTCCCGGTCTCTAAACCTGGTTCTGGTCCACGACCCCACGCTGTCAAACAGGTAAACTTTGAATGAAACGAGTTCTCTTACTTGATTTGCTCCTGCGCTGCACGCGAGGGAACAGGACCCCTGGCGTCAGAGCTTTAGGGGCTCCTCGAGCCGCCGAGGCTGAACGGACCTGTTTAATAAGTGAGTGGAAGATCCTCTGCTGCAACATGATGACTGAGCTGCTCACAGGTTTGTCTCACAGTGCAGTGAAACACACACAGACACAGGAGTCCCCTCTGTCCTGTCAGTCACTCATTTAAAGAGTTAATTCCAGTCATGCCAGAGCTTTCTTCAGACTTTCTCTGTCATTTTCATGCCTGTTTTAACTCCAAGAAAGAGGAATCTGAAACAGTCAAATCTTCCATCTTTATTTTTTAAATTGGAGCCACTATCTGAAAGTGGTCATGTGACTAAATCAATCAGTTAAGCCTTAAAGAACTGATTGATAAAAAAACAGCTAAAATCTAGCAAAAACTGTGATAAGACTTATTACCCAGATCTGTTTGCAAAATACGTCAGGAACCAACTCGCAGACAAAGTTGTAGTTTYGATGAATAATTTTATTGTTGAACAACTACAGTGCTCTCGGTCAATCCAAAAATATTAAACCTCAAGCCTGAAGATTTAAGAAAGTAAAAGTGAGATTTGGGCTTTTTTAAGGACAAAATCTATGTGTGCAGAATTATTGGGCAACTAAATTGAAAAAGGAAAAGTTTCCATCTCATTTGTTTATTGTCATCCTTTAAAGTGAGAATAATAAACAAACATTTGTCATAAAACAATATCAGTGACCAATATAGCCACACATTTTCAAATAGTTAAGCCCTCCATTCGTGGAGTTTATCAGTTTCTTGATCTGTTGATGATCAACTTTTTGTGCAGCAGCAACCTGTTCAGAGAGATGTCCTGTTTTCCTTCACTGTAAATCTACTGTTTGAGAAGGACCACAAGTTCTCAACAGGGTTCAGGTCAGGTGAGGGAAGGGGCCATGTCATATTCTTTCATCATAAGGCCTTCACACTTCGATGCATGGTGGTCAGTGCTGGCTCTAGCCATTTTGGTGCCCTAGGCGAGTTGAAGGGCACCCACCCCAATTTGAACCCCTAAAACAAGTTTGACAGTGTAAGGTACTATGGTAAACTTAATTTATTTGCTTTCCCAGAAAGCAAATAAATAACAACATACATGTCAACTTGTACGGATTGTCCATAAGTTATAAGGATTTTACGTCATTTTGCAGGTATATGGATGTATAGGGCAATCTCACGGATTTTTTTCAAGTCATTTTATGGGTAGAGTAGTTTATTTTTCCTGTAATACTTCATTATAGTTTTTAAGACAAAGCTAATTGAAAGGGGCGCTGAGCAGAGTTCCAACCAGGGATTACAAATAATTATTTTTTTCTTCGGCAGTTTGGTACCCCCTCCAGCAGATGGCTATCTAGGCGACCTCCTAGTTCGCCTATGCCAAGAGCCGGCTCTGATGGTGGTGGAGCATTGTCCATGGTCTTCTTGAAAGATGCAGACCTCTTCCTGTACCACTGCTTGAAGTGTTTTCTAAAAATTGGTAGGTTTGGGAGTTGACTTTGAGTCCATCTTCAACCCAAAAAGGTCCAACTAGCTCATCTTTAATACCAGCCCATACCAGTACCCCACCTCCACCTTACTGGCATCTGATGCAAAGTGGAACTCTGTGCCCATTACTGTTCCAGCCACAGGCCCACCAAGAGTCTCTCATCAGTCCATAAAACCTTTGAAAAATCTGTCTTCAGATATTTCTTGGCCCAGTCTTGATGTTTGTGTYTTGTGCAGTGGTGGTCGAGTTTCAGCCTTCCTTACCTCGACTTACCAATTTTGGACTTTTCAGTCACTTAAATCTCTTTTTTGGCCCATTTTGTCTGAGAAAAGGCTGCCTAATAATTATGCACACCTTGATTTAGGGTGTTGATCTCCTTAGGCCCCACCCTCCCTCATTACACATCAGCTGATATGTTTATATCCAATAAAACATTCAAGTTTATACAGCTTGGAGTTAGAAAATATGAATAAAAATTATATGSTCAAAACTACAACTTGCCTAATTGTGCACACCATGTATACTCTGAGAATGAACACATAAGAACTTAAAATATCACATCATTTACAAGGTTTATCTGTAATGGCTATRAATTCCCTTTTTAATTCAATATAGCTAAAAACTGTGGCATCAAAGAYGGCAGGTTATATTTTTTTCAAGCAAGGGTGGGTTCATTTTCACCCTGGAATTACTTTTTACTAAAAACTTGACACATTTTTAAAATATACTAAGGCTTCTCACAAACACAAAATCTTACATTTAGCATAAAGAAACACAGTCCTGACTTAAAACTGTGAAATAAACTTGAACTACTTAAAAGTAAAAATGTCTGATAAGACATTTTGCAGCCTGTTTCATCTTTTAATGATTTCCTTGGCTCAAAAAGACCAAGATGATTAAAACACAAATTATCAAAACACCTACAACTGTTTTGAAGGCAGCCAACAATCAAAATCTGGAACTTCTTGATAGATCAACAATGTCAAACAAACAAACAGAAACAAACACACACACTGTACTAAAAAGCAGTTTATTATTAAGCTGATTTTTTTCCTGTTCATCGTGGAATGATATGAAAAATCTTAAGTTTAAAGTCTATCTCCTTTGGAGATGAAAAAAAAAGGCAAAAATGAATAAAAGCAGACACATTTTAAAAGAGAAACTCAAAATGAGTTCAAAGTGCTCAGTCCCAGCCCAGCTCGGTTGTGGCAGCGGGGGGAGGGAAGGCCTGGCTCAGACAGCTCCGGGTCTGGGCAGCTACCAACTGCAGACCAGGTATATATTTCTCACCAAATCATCACTGGCAAGACAATAAGGAGGGCACCGCTTTGAAATAATAAAAATAAAATCGTGCCAACCTTTTACAGTAAATTAAAACAACATCATCGTCACCATCATCATCATCATCAGCAGCATGCTCAGCCTCAAATCTTACAACCAAACGCGTGTTGCTCCTTGTTGCTGTAGGAGGAGTAAAGCTGAAGTGGAGGAGTGTTGGCCAGCACAGGCAGTCTTTAAAGATCACAGCTGTTGTGTGGAGTGCTTTGCTATAGYTTGATGGTGCCGGTGGGCAAGCTACTATTACACAGTCTGTAGTAGCGAAGATCATTCACTAGTCTCTGAACGCTTTGCGTGAACGAAGGCAAATCCTGGAGAAAAGGGGTAAAWTATGTATTATCACTTTGCTGTGTTCTTCACAACCAGCGCTCAGTGCCKCCTGTGTACTGCGGCGCACAACTGAAGGAAGTTCAGTTCTCACCTGTTCAAGCTTGAAGTTGCGTGCCAGAACGGCTCGTTGGTTGGTGTCCACACCGTGGCAGCCGTTTAGGAACTCTGGCATGAAGACAGAGTAGAAGGCATCGAAGTCGACAGAGGCCATGTTGTAAATGGCGAGGGTGATTTCCTCCTGAAGGAGGTCGTGGCTTTTGTGCAGGAGGACCTGCAGCAGCACGTTGATGAAGTGGAAGAGCATGGAGGTTTGGAAAAGCTTCTGAAGCAGACAGAAAAATGATAACAAAATGTTAATAAAAACTCTAAAGTTGCAGTATTTTAACACTAACACGAGCCCTTTTTCCACTACTGAGTCCGGCTCCGCTCGGGCCGGTTCTGAGCGGTTCTACTCGGGTCTAGTTTGTTTGTTCCACTGTAACTAGGGTTCCCGCTCTGTGGGCAGTAACGTCTTTTAAAAGTGGGTGGTATAATTAAACGATCAGCCTTAAAGCTGCTGTTTATCACTACTCCTTCTGCTGTTGACATAAAAAGTCCGATATTTAGTCTGTAAATAATACTCATACCCTGCTACAGCAAAACGTTGCTTATAAATGCAGTAAAACAAAACCAAAATGATTTTCTTAAAAATGAACTTAGTTACTGCACACTTTATGCCTAGGAGTGTGAGTAAATATGTTGATTTTTTCCTTATGGATTTAACTCAATGAAAAACAAACAGCAATGCCAATATGCTTTATTTCAATGCTTTATTTCACCAAATAAAAGTCAGACAATTTATAACTACATAAAAAAAAAACCACACAACCACCCAAAAACTAAAGTCCGAATGTAACCGAAGCAGCTCCGGGAGCAGCTCTCCTGTAGCTGCCCAGCCTCTGGCTGCTTCGACCCAGATAGAAAGGCATCGGATACCGACAGATGTAGGAGAAGGTGGAGAAACGGTCCAGGAGCTCAGCTGGTCACTTGTTGAAGGTGACTCTGAACAGAAAACCAATGATTAGCCTCGAATATGGTTAAAATTAATTACTAATTACAATAAATGTAGAGCTGGGGCTGTTGTTTTTAGCCTCKATCGCTAACTAGCGATAGCCGCTAGCCGCTAACTAGTTAGTATTGGAAACAAACATGTACAAWGGACACATCGGTACAAGCTTTATAAATAAAAGGTACAGTTTGACAAGCGAGACATGTGTCCCATAAATTATGTTCAATATCTCAATAAATGCATGAAGCACTCACCGTCTGCAGATGAAGTTTGTGAAGAGTCCAGTCTAGAGTTAGCAGCAGACAGAATGGTGTCTGTAGAGAGCGATCCCYTCCATTTACCCAAAGCAGCTCTAGTCCCATTGCTTTGAGCCACTCCGGCTGYTGTTGTGGTTCTTCACTGCTCTGAAAACTGGCTTAATATATTTTTAGCTTCTCCCAGCGYRTCACCATCATGGAAAATCTCAACTTGCTCTTAATAAACTGTCATCCAGGCAGCTCCACTGGCCAATCGTGACTGCTACACGCTTCGGCACTTCCACGCCCCAAACGGTGCTGGCCTCAGTACTACCTTGAGAGGAGGTCTGAAAAAGTGGGCTGAAAGTGGGCGGGAGCCACAGTGGAAATTCACAAAATGGGTGCGGAGTGGGGTGGAGCCAAACCGAACCGCGTAGGTGGAAAAAGGGCTACTAAGTACTGCTTTTTTTGAGTGCGTCAACAACCTGTGATCAGTGATGGCGAGATTTCTGATTGGTTCATTCAGATAAGATATCAGTTTTCAAAAATATAGTGACAATAATATAAACTGGGACACTTCCCACAGTGGGATCTGTGGAGAATACACAGAGAGCCTTGACCTGTTTAAGTCAAGTCTAAATGCACTTACTTAGGAATAAATCGACAATGAACAACCTTACATCATTTTATCTGGTCTTTGAGAAATGTTTCTAATGTTTACATGCAGCAGGTACAACTCTGAACCTGGAAAAT